CACATCGACTGCACTACCCTCATCTATCCACCTGGTTATGTCTTCATAAAAGGCTATCAGGTTGGTCAAATATGAATTCCCCTTGGTGAAGCCATATTGACTGCTCCTAATGACCCTCTAATCCGTGATATGCCTAGAGACAGCACTTAGGATAAGTTCTTCCATCCCTTTTCCAGGGATGGAGGTGAGGCTGACTGGTCTGTAGTTACCTGCGTCCTCCTTCTTGCCCTTTTTGAAGACTGGAGTGACATTTGCTTTCCTCCAGTCCTCAGCCACTTCTCCTGTTCCCCACAACTTACCAAAGATGATGGAGAGTGGTCTAGCAATGACTTCCACCAGGTCCTTCAGCACCCGCCGGTGCATCCCATCAGGGCCCATGTATGTCCAGCTTTCTTAATTAAGCCCTAACCCAGTCCTCATCAACCAAATCAAACTCCTTTATCCTGACTTCCTCAGGGGTCTGGAACTCCTGAGGACAGTCTCCAGCAGTATAGACAGAGACAAAGAACGCATTCATTAGCTCCACCTTCATTGTATCCTCTGTCACCAGGGCACTCGCCTCATTCAACAGTGGGCCTACATTGCCTCTAGTGTTAGTTTTGTCTGCAATGTATTTGAAGAAGCCCTTTCTGTTGTCCTTGACCTCCCTTGCAAGGCTTAACTCCAAGGAGGCCTTAGCTTTCCTAGTTGCCTCCTTACACCCTTTGATTAAACCAGATACATATATCCTTAAAGCATCTATCACAGAAAAGTTTTTAATCCAGCAGTGAAAGACAAAAACAGATGACTGGAAGATATATTCAGACAGAAACCAAGGTGCGAGTTTGTCTTTTTTAGTTTGGGAATAGAAATGGTTATCTACCAGGACAGACTATCAAGAAAAGTGGTAAATCCCAAAATCTGAGAAATCAAGCCTAGTTGCTTTCTGGGAATTCGTGTTCTAATAAAATAAATCTGTACTGGGCTTAACACACAGAACAATGTAGCTCTTCTGATCTTCAGCATGTTAGAATAAACAAACTGACGGTCTTGTCTGGTTTAAGATCCTAGGAGTGGTGTGATCCCCACCTAATAGGACCCACTAACTGGTCCGGGAGGGTCTCAAGGTTACTTATAGCTCTGACGTTGTAGCTTTTTGTAAGGACAACGCTCATCTGTGCAGGTGACAGAACCTGTGGAATAAGATCCCATACAAAGTAAATATTATCAGGTTTCTGACAAGAAATCAGATTTCTAAGGGCAGAGAATATTTCCTTACAGTTGTTTCCTGTAATATAAACTTAAGGAAGTTGTGCACATGCCTGTCAGTACACTTAAATCCAAAACATTAACATTTAACAATTTTGTATGTGGAAGCACTAGGGAACAAGTGTGTGAAAAATGTAAGCCACAGTTCGTGCACACTAGAAGTCTCTTGGGCATTGAGGTGGTGAGTGCAATGTAACCATTTATAGAACCTCAGTTCCTGGGTTTTGAGTTCTTTTTCCCATTTCTTTGTTTTCTTTAAAGAAGATGGCTTACTACTACTCCCAGCTCTAACTCCACTGGTTCATTGCCCCATTTATGTGTCCTGGCTGAGAAGCTGTCATTGCTCAGAAAAGTAAAAACCTAATAGCCTGGTTTTATGCCTGTTAATGCAATTGATTGGTAAATAAAAGCTAGAAATAGGCAAGGTCTAAGAAATGCTTTCTTTCCCCTTAAAGGTTTTGTTAGGGAGTAACACAAGCTTCTCTTCAGGTTAGCTCACACAAATTATAACATGATTCAGCCTAACATGACATGACACATGCTTGCATTGCCTTCCAAGGAAAACATTAGAGGGCACCCACAAAGTAACATCCCCATGATGTTACCTGTAACCCCACTTACTATGAGAATATTCTGTTTTTCCCTGTCAATGAACAAAATCCTCAGACAATGGCAACCAGACAACTTTGAATAGGAAAATGTGAATCTTTGGGCTGAAATAGTTAATTTGAGCCCTAAGTCCCATATTTCACAGGTTGTTTACAATAATTGTTTTTCAGTATCAGATGTACCTTGTTAAAGAGTGTTTGATGATCACTGAATGTTAATATGAAGCCCAAAGAGAAACAGAGCCAGCCTGATTGCTTGGCTAGCTGATTGCTTGATTAGGTCAACACTCCAAAACCCCTTCAAGAATACAGTGTTTCATATGAGACAATGATCATCAGCTCTGATGTTGTTATAAGGGAAAAAACCCATTATTTTGCAACTTTTTTGTTATAATTAAAAAGTAAGTAATTTAAAAACAATCTTTGGTTTTAATACACTTTTTAATGCTATATTTACACAAAATAATTTTGCTTTGCACTTTAAATCTTGAAAGGGCTACAATTGTGCCTTTTAACATCCCCTATTAGACTTCCTGGCAGAACACTGGGGAGGGTGTGTGAGTGAGAATATATTTAAAAAAAGAAGGCATGATGGATGCATGGTCACATGTCATTTATGACAGACGCACAAGAAAACAAAATGGAAAATTACCATCCAAGTCCAGCACTGGCCTTTGACCCATCCAGTAGTAAATGTTAAATCCAGAAAGAGCTAAACAGCACAAAGTCCCACTCCTCCCAATCCTGCAACTACTTCCCAGTAATTCAGAGCAAATCTCAGACCTTTATCACAGAACAGACCTGAAATTACAGTCATTACAGCAAGAGAACAGGAGATACCACAGTATTATAAGTTCTTGTAAGAGTGACCGATTTCTTAGGGAAAAAAGTCTAGATGACTCTGGGGAGGGACTGTGTAATCAAGCTGCAGCAGAAGGCAAAAGAATATAATAGTTCTTGAATCGTTCCTGGCTTTTTGGTGGTTAGCTGAACTCCGACATTGAGAGAGTTATGAACGAGCAGATACTAATTTATATCATTAATTAGAGCTGTCAAAGTAGGGGATGTTGGCCTGTATGCATACAAGTGTGGCTGTCAGTAAGGGCAATAGATCAAAAAATTCTACCCAAAGATTTATTATTGAAATTTGAGATTTGATGAGGAAGTAGGATACTGTAACATAAGTCATTATGTATTCTCCCTCACTGGATCAAGTCTAAAACCTAGGTATAATCCCTTTTAGGAGGCACTATATTTTATTCTGTAATGGGTTTAGTATATTTCAGATATTGCAGAACATACATCTGTGAGATTGCTGGAGTTTACCTATGCTATATACACTACAAAGCTTTCCACAAATTCAGCCCAGAATATTTCTGAAGTATTGAAAGTATTTTAATTTTTTTTTTAAATTAAGAAGAAAAGAAGGTATGTAGTTAAGACCCTGTACAGTTCTTGTTGGTGTATAGAAAAGATTACTTACTCTGGGAAAAGGGAAGACCATCCTGGGATGAAGCCAGGCTCTCTGGTGAACCACAGCAGGGTCATTAGAATGAATAGGACAAGTGTAACAATTTCTGGGTAGCTATAGCAGAAACAGAATGGATTATACATTTTCCTGAATACACACTTGGATTTACTCTCTGTCATTTACATATTTATAGTCTGACATACCTCATTGGTCCAAGCTTCTTGTATTCCTCCTGAATTACCTGTGCTGAGGCCTCTTCTCTAGCTGTTTTCTTCTTGCCACACTTGAACATGTTTTTAAAACTGGAATGTAAATCAGCAATATTGAATGATGAATTAACAGTGTATACAGAAAAAAGCCCCAAAAGTCCAACCTTTCCAGTTACCAATAGCACTTTACAAAGGTAAAATTTTCACTTTACAATGCTGTATCTCCCATTTAATTATCACACATGAAACTGAGCACATTGGAATCAATTGACAAAGTCCAGTGGGAGACTGACAGAGGCAGCAACAAAATGTGTCCTGTTATTGACTAGCTCATTTGCTCAGGAAGGGTGAAATTTTAATCATGGGAAGTGATTGAAACAATCAAATACATAACTTGGCTATTTAATCAAAGTCATCTATGATTTTACTTTGTGTTGTAATGAAAAAGTTTGTATCGCATGAGTAGGCTGCATACTGATCAGCAGTGTATTTGCTACAAGCTAATTTTTGATTCTTGGGTAAGACCCTTACACAATGAACACTTGAAAAAATCAAGAAAAATGAAATAATAAATGTTTATATACAGAGTGGTAAGTATGGGATGATTCTAAGTCTACTTAAGAGTAGACAGTCTCACTCTTCACCTCTTGCACCACCAGTAGCCATGTAATTGTGGAAGACAGGTGTCCCCATTGTTATCTCTGCAGATGTTAGTGAACTCATGGAGAATAAGGCTTTGAAGAATCAGCCCAAAAGAAGTATTATCCTCTCCAAAGCCTTAAAAACACAAGCTCTGAGGGAAAAACATGCGCCAGCATTCCACCACATATAAATTTTGGAAAAGTGGAAGTTTTTTACTTCACATTTACAAATATAGTCATCCAGTTTATAGCTCAGACATTGCTCAAGTATTTAAGCCAATTCCTGACTCCAGTGAAGGGCAACATCCTGACTATAAATCTTCCAGTCCTAGACCAAAACGCATAAAATTTCAGTATTCTTCTGTCTTGCACACATGCACTGTTTATTGATGACATGTATATTCTAAAGGAATGGGTATCAACATTTGTGATATAGACTTTCCACAGTGGGCTGAGTAGTCAAGGATCCTTATTTTAAGAAATCCTTGGCCCATCCAGAGATTCAGCCCTACTAATCAAGGACACAAAATCACTGTTGCTGCAATATATTTCTGTTGAGTCTGTTAAACATAGATGAAATATTTACTCCTGGTACAAAATATGTCTTATTTCATCAAACTTTAGTTTTATTTATTACAACATTTACTTACTCAAATCCAAGGAAAAGCCACTGGAGCCAGACCCAGGAGAGCAGCAGAATAATAACTGTGATGGGGATGGAAAGGATAAACCAGGATCCAAAATTGATGCACTGGCAAGCTGGGTAACGTCTGGATGAAGGTAAAAAACTGTTCAGTTGATCTTTGCAAAGATATGAAGACTTGTGAGAAGTGCGAGAAAGCCCTGCTGCAATAAAATTCTTCTGGATGGCAGCTGACCTCAGAATGAGGTGGCCTCTTGTATCCTTTTCCCTCACCCTCCCATCCTGTTCCTGTTTATCAGACCACTACAGGAACTAGCCATGACAGTTAATTGAGCACTGGGTCAGCAACAGGTCTGGAGATCTGATACTAATCTAGGTGTGTCTCTAACCTGAGTTCAGTAGGCAAGGAAGGGCCACTCACAACGTGAGACCATTGAGACTACAAAGAAACAGAACAGAAAAGCAGTTCTTTGAGAAGAGACTTTAGCACAAGGAAATATACTCGAACAAGCTCCAGAAGTAGTAGTGAACTTAGAAGACAACAGTGAGACTTGTATAGTTTAAGGTTTCATAAGAGATTCAAAACTGATTAAAACCAAAATTATTGTTACTAATTTCCAGGAAAGGCAGGAATGTTCATTTGTTAGGTGGATTGTCTCTTCATTCACCTTGTCTCTTTGAGGCTGCCTTAATCTACTGTTTACAGATGTGGGTCATTCAACCAGAGCTCTCCCTGCCATATGCATTTAAGAAAAGAAGAAATGGGCTTTGGTTTTCTGAAAGAAAATTTCTGTTGAACGAGAGATGCCAGATAAGCAAAAGCACCAGGTAAATTAATTCTGTTTTCCACTTTACGAACAGAAGCTATTCTTCCTTTGAGTTCCTCCAGCCCTATTGAGAGAGCTTTTAATGCTAAAAGTGAGAAAAATCTACTCTTTTTGAACAGACTTCCTCCTTGATGCAAAAATCAAATGGAAGGGAAATCTCAATGTCCAGACAGAGGCTGTAATGACTGTTTCCAATTAGCAGTCAATCTTTTGTATTTCAGGCTTTGCTAGAAGAGAAGGAATTCTGATGCTCGCGTAGGTCTTTGAGGCAGTAAATGCTTGTTATAAGTGCTTTCTCAAGTCTGGTGTGAATTTTAGGATTGATCTATATTTATTATGATGCTTACATATACTGCAATTAAAGCGCCAGCAGGGACTGAATCAAAACTCCTACCCACTTCTTGAGGTGATGCACTAAATTGCAACTGTCCATAGTGATAAGACAGTGAAAATGGTGAAAATGTAACACAAAAAGGCATTGTGCTATTGTATATAATTTATTCATTACATGGTTATTTATCACATCAATTTTTGAATCTACTAATTCCAAGACAGGAAAAAACTGACATTAGCATAGAAATGACTCAGCATTTCATCCCTTCTTGAAGTGTTTATGATCTTTCCTGAATTATGTGTGATAATTCCTGACTAAGCAACAAAACAAGCTCTTGAAAACTTTACAATAAAGAGTCAATTCTGTTACAAAATGTTGATTTCTTGTGGTCAGGTTTCACAGTAAGTTTGTGTAGGGATGAGTGTATATGTAAGTATTTCTGGTAATCTTAAAGTTAAGTATTCTTTATCTCCAGAGCAAATATTCCTCAGGTAGACTAGAAGATCAATTTAAGTTATTTTAAAAATTATCTGTTTTGCAGTGCTGATTGGATTATCTGATATTGTTGGATTATCTACTATGGGCCTTGACTGAGGCAAGGATGGACAGGACACACTGAACTATTTATTTTCTAGACCTATTTCCTTTGAAAAATGAAAAAGTGTGATTGATTTTAATAACCCCCATTTTACAGTGATTTAGTGCCAATAGCAATAAACTCTTTCCAGGCAAACACTAAAAATGCCAACAGATTTGGTTCACAGAACAAATCCAGATAAGATTATTCCTTTTGTGACTTTTATAAAATTGCTTAGGTTGAAAATAATTTAATGTCAGCAAAGTGTGATTCTTCGTGTTGGAAAGTCAAATTCAGTTACCAGAATAGGGTTCAGGAAATTTAGTAACTTGCCAGTGGGGCTTACTGGAGAACCAAAGGTTTCATTTACCATTTACTCTTCCTCAAGCGTAGGAGAACTCAGTTTTCTCCCTGACACAGTGTTGTCTGGTAAGCGTTTCTCTCTCTAATCTCTTCACAGCCTTCCCCTTTCCCTGGGGTGCAGCTGCCTCTGCTCCTACAATCCGCAGCCCTGCTCTAATATGGCCCAGCCGTGAACCTTGGCTTGCAGTGCTGCTTCATGTGGGAGAGCTGTGAGAAAGTCTCTACAGCAGAGCTATGTAAGATTAGATGGGTAGAACTGCAGATGTGAGATAACTGACATGGGGATCTGCAGCAACCTGAAGGGTTCAAGAGGAAAAACACCAATACAGAAAGGGATAAAATACTAAAGGAAAAACATATGGAGTCAGGAGAAAGGGACCGAGCGTCACCAAGGATCTGTTCCAGGGAGCAGTGAAGACTAATGCATCTCATCCCCACTGGTGCCTCCCTGGCCAGTAAAGGCTTCTGGGTATCTTATGGGCAGTGGTGAGCAGGTTAATGCTTAGCCTACTAGCTGGTTACACAATTTCTAGGTGTGTTATGCAATACTTTTTTTTTCTTTCTTTCCTTTTCTTTTTTTTTTTTTTTTTTTCAGTTGGATAAATTCTAGACACTATATTGTAGTGTCTCTTTGCATACAATTAAAGAATGGAGTGATCCTCACAGGATCAGTAACAATCTGTCTTGAAAAGGAGCCTTTATGAAAGTTGGTATCACTCTCATTGGCAGGGATGCTTAGCATTGCATCAACATTTCCATTGTTTGCTTCTGCCCTGTGGAACACATTATAATTGCATGTCCTAAATCAACATCAGTTTGAGGATTCCCAGCAACACACCGGCTCCAATGTTAACACAGATATACTGGTTTCCTCTTCATCTGACAAATGAAAATGAGGGAAGTCGAGAACAGTAACACTAATTCCAACCTATTTAATACTGAATTTGGGAAGACATGAGGAATACGGAATTTCACAGCACCACTTTAAGTGTTTTATCACTGAGTGGGAAACTAAGGAATATGCTGCATGTACAGCTCTCTTGCTGAATTATTCTACTTCAGTTGCTTATGATACATGAAGGTAGACTGCAAATGTGTCCAAGTCATGCTAACAGATCAATTCATACTTCAGACAGGGCACAAATACAAACAAGGCCTCTGAAGAAAAGGGGAGCAAGACAGTAAAGATAAAAATACTTGCACAGTTTGATGGTGGATTCATCTTAAGGATTAGGCTCAATGGTTGTGTAAAGATTAAATAAAATCCTGGTCAGGTATAAAACTGGATTACACATGCAGTGCTCCATGTACAGCCCATGCAGCTAGCTGAGGGTGAAGACCCAGGGAGAGAACGATAATCTGCTTATGCATTCTTGAAGAGTTTGTTAATAGCAAAGACAAACTGAAAAACCAGCTGCAAGCCAGTTTTCTTCAAGTTTCCTACAACTTTACAAGGAAATGCACAAGAGTAGTTCTTACCACTAGAAATCAATCTTAGTTTCTTCTAGGGTCCTTCACTGAGTGTGAAGCCTGCTTGAACCAGAAATGCTTGTATGTATAAAAGTTTAAGTCTGAAGGCTCATAATGCCATAGTCTGCCCTGTGTGGTTCTTTGGCCCAAATAACAGGCACCCTTATAATTTCCACACCATTTCCATTTTTGCCATTCTCTTAGCACGGGCTGATTTACAGACTGTAGCACTTCAGTTCTCTTTAGTAACATGGTAAAGCCAAATCTCATCTATTCATGGAACACAGGTTGAAAGAAAATCTAACAATAACTGGTGTTTTACCATTTTGCCTTGTGCAATACAAAATAGTGGGCAGAGGGTAAGAGAAGGGTTGTGCTTTATTTTGTTCTATTTTAAAATTAGAGTAGGAATATTTATGTCTGTGAGTAGTTTGCCGAAGAAAAACAAATTCAGCAAGAACTATTGGTTTTTCAAAAACTTTGGAATGAAATCTACCAGTTTTCTTTTACAAAGTAGTTCTACTTAGAAAAGGAATATTAAAGAATGTTTTTAATATCCTCGAAACAAAGTATTCCACTGAATGCAAATTTTCAGACTGGCTTGAAATGATTAGCTTTTTCTTTGATTAATGGACCTAAATTACTCATTTCAAAATGCATTAAGCATAGCCTCCTGAAAGTCTCCTGGTGTTCCTTGCTAAGCAGACTCAAACTTAGACATGAATAACAGTGCTTTAAGGCCAGGTAGTGTCTGACATATTCATGCTAAGTAGTGGCTTCCTCCTCAGATAAGCCCATTTTTTTTCCATACAGCTATTCAAAGAGTGAAGTACTGCTTAACCAAAGAACGGTCATCTTGTCGCATGTGTTGAATGGTCACTTACAGCCTTTCCCAAAGTAAGGCAAATACAACCATACAATTTCATTTTATCTCTTCAACAAAAAATAACAAAAAGAAAATAATAGAATCAAATAATGTAAAATCAAAGGGTAAGGTTTCTAATGCATTTTAGGGGAGCCAGGTGAGAGCTCAGGAAAGAACAGTTAAAATTCTGGATTAAGAAGAATACAAATAATTTAATGTAGTCACTTACGTATTGAAGTGCTCAGTAAAAATCAGATTAGTTGATGTTCCCGTGATTGTGGTCAGCCCTCCAATGGTAGCAGAATAAGCAACACATAAGCACATCACTTTGAAAATCCCACTGTATTTGTCCTCTTTGCTTTTTCTCCCTGTTTCAGCAGGTGGTAGGTTCTGCTTAGAAAGAATATGCACCAATTAATGTACAAAAACGGCTCATCATCAAGCACAAAAACAGGATTCAGGCATGTCCCAGAAGAGCCAGATAATTTGCAGGCAATATACTTGTATGCGGCGTGGTTTGGTTTGGTGTTGTGGAGGTATTACAATTATTCACCCAAAGGAAAAGGACGGAGAGCCATATCCTGAAGTCCTTTTCCTGAGCTGTCTCAGTCTTTACCCAAGAACTTCCTTTATATATACTGATATATATATATGCACACATCATATATACACATTTTGGTGAGGTTAGCTTAACTTGTGTAAAATACACAGGGAGCGCAATCCCACTAAAGAAATAACTACAAAGCAACTTGTATGTAGATATATCTACACACATATCTCTTATTTACATGAAACTAACTTCATTGCTAGCTATGTCATGTTAGGTGTCACATAGGAGTGAGATTTAGGTTAAAACTAAGTTAAACACATTAGCTGCGTAATAAAAAAGACACCTTAAGTACCTGTTCCTTTTCTTTTTCTTGTTCCTTTTCAATTGTGCACGTAGTACTACACACGTTGTTATATCTGGAAAAACAAAGACATGTATTGTTATGAACGGATATTCTATTTAGATGAATTCTTAGAACAGAATTTAGTAAATGAATAACTGTTACCCATTAACTTGTTTTTCTTTCTCTTTCCATTCACTGCTTTCACATTCTCCCATATTTTCTGCAAGACATCGATGCAAACACAGATAAGTATTTAAGGGTGCAAAATTGGAAAGGCTCCATCACCATGTCCCATTCCATGCAATCACTTCACATCATCCCATGAATACATTTACAAGTGCCAATCTTAAAAAGCTGAATTGTGCCCTACTCCTTCATGACTCCTATTCCTCAGAGTCTGAATCTTGTATTGAGGAGAAATCTTTCAAATTTAAATACAACCGTCTACGTAATCAGTTCAGATTAATTTGTTCTCCCAACATTACCCTAGAGCTTAAAAAGCTCTTTTCTCTTGCTGACATCTAACCCCAGTGTATTTATAACCTGTAGTCATATTTCTTTTCAAGCATTTTACTAGGGTGAACAACCCAGCCACTTCTCTTTTCCCCTTCTCTCATATAATTGCTGTATTCTGCACCCGTTCAGTTTTAATTAATGTTTGTGAACATGAGAGGCCTCATACACACTAATCCAAGAGAAGTTTCACAATGAAACATGTAATGGTGGTAGTACTTCCCTAGCCATTCATCTTTATTTTGTGTGTATTTACTCCACTGCAGAGTGAGGGTGGGCAAAGATGAAAACTGTACTGCGTGCCTACCGTCCAGCTCCAGCGCTGGGTTGATGGAGCCATTAGAGCAAGACATCTCCAGCGCATCAACTTCTGCTTCAGCTTTGGCGATCTGCTGTGCTACAGCTTCTACAATTGGCATCACCATGGCAGCAGCAGAGGTGTTGCTGAGCCACATTGACAAGAAAGCACAACTAACCATGAAACCCAGTGTAAGCCTGGAACGGGAGAGAAGAGTCTGTAGCTGAGACAGCAACACCTCCTATCACCACTCTATTTGATGTAAACAGAAAGATTTTTCAACAGAAACCTTGAATGTAGGAAACATTGAAAATTTAAAGTTTGTAATTGACCTCTGCAGAAGTTTGTTTATGAATTAAAATTATCTTCATCAAATGCACTAATATTATCGTGGTTTAGAGTTAAAGGATCAAATATATTATAAATCGAAACAGAAACAATGTCTATTTACTGTATGATACTGTATTTGAATCATCTTCAAAGAAAGAGCACCATGCATGTCACAAGTTCATATGAAAGTTAAAATGGCTATACTGCTAATGCTATTAATCCTGTATTGTACAAGCTAGGTCAAAACCCTGGATTTATCACTTAGGCTTTAGCTAAGTGGTACTTAACTTAGTTCTTAATCAGAACCCCAAGACAGGTGTAGGGATTATTTGTGCTTCAATAAACATCATATTTAATATTAAACGGGGAAGTGAAGGTCATTACAATGTCTTAGTCTGACCCTGACACATCTTATGCTAAGTTTACTACAAATAGGAATTGCATCTGTGCAATTCCTGATTGCAATGATGTAATGCACTGAATTGCGTTAGTGACTGGAGTCACTCTAGTTTTACACTAAAAAAATCAAATATTCTGTGTTGTATCTGGTGAACTGGACAGTAAACAGAATGCAGGCCACATTGTCATTTTTAATGCATCTCTTGGAGTTGTAAATGAGAGTAGTCCTCTTGAATTCCTGTCCCAAGGTGTTGGCAGTGTCATTAAACAACTGCCATGCATCACCACAGAGAGAGAAATGCGAGTGGAAGGATTGTGGTACTGCAGCGTTTTCTGAGAAGTCATTTGTGCAATTTGTAAAGCTCTTTGCCTAACCTTGATCAAAAGCTTCACAAAAACTGTAAGGATCACTTGACACACAAACCCAAGATTTTATACAAAAATAATGTAAGCAATATTTTGTGATATAAAAATAGCATTCAAAATGCCTCTCAGAGACTTTAATTTCAGCTCACAGCAACGTTTCAAACTTGATTTTTTCCCAATAGGGGTAACTTGTCTTCTCTCTGTGCACTTTTAATTGCATAATGACGAAATTATCTGCAGACCTTCAAGTAGTGGACATTCGACACAAACGGTCATCAGTAGTATAAAACCCATTAACTTTACATGGTTTTTGATTAGGTCTTCAGATAGAAGTTGGGGAAGAATTGTATTTTCAGAAAAAAATTTTATGCAGAAAATACTGGTCAGGCTAAGCACACTGAATATGAATTTTCACACTGTAGAAAAATATAGTTTTAGTACAACTCGCAAGAGGTTTTAAAACCAAAGCAAATTAAGACATTCACTAATATGTTTCAAAACTTCATTATAAATTTCCAGCATTTGATGGACTGATGGTCAGATGACCAGTTAGTTGAGTGTAGTGTACTCTAGACTGACACTAAAATTGATTAAAATATAACAAAATATACCCTAACCTGTTCAGCCCCAGTTTCTCTGCATTGTTCTCCCTGTGGTGGTGTTAAAAAATAGTCTGCATGGAACCTTGGATGATAACATCGTTTACATTCAGCTGTAAGTCATTCTTTGCTATGTAATGCACAATCAATGTTTTATTATTACTCCATTCTAGTCCTTGCAGGTTGCATAGATGTATTCACCTTTCCCTGCTAGTCTGCAGAGCAGACCACATAGCTCAAACGATAGGAGGTCTTTAGGGACTTATAGAATCATTTAGGTTGCAAAAGACCTTTCACATCATTGAGTCCAACTGTTAACCTAACACTGCCAAGTCCACCACTGAACTATGTCCCTAAGCACCACAGCTATACATTTTTTGAACACCTCCAGGGACGGTGAATCAACCACTTCCTTGGGCAGCCTGTTCCAGTGCTTGACAAGCCTTTTGGTGAAGAAATTTTTCCTAATATCCAGCCTAAATCTTCCCTGGAGCAACTTCAGGCCGTTTCCTCTTGTCCTATCACTTGTTACTTGGGAGAAGAGACTAACCACCACCTCACTACAATCTGCTTCCAAGTAGTTGTAGAGAGCGATAAGGTCTCCCCTTAGCCTTCTTTTCTCCAGGCTGAATAATCCTAGTTCCCTCAGATGCTCCTCATAAGACCTGTTCTCCAGCCCCTTCACCAGCTTCGTTGCCCTTCTCTGGACACGCTCCAGCGCCTCAATGCCCTTCTTGTAGTGAGGGGCCCAAAACTGAACACAGTGTTTGAGGTGCAGCCTCACCAGTGCTGGGTACAGGGGGACAATCACTTCCCCAGTTCTGCTGGCCACACTATTGCTGATACAAGCCAGTCTCTCCAGAAGAATGCAGAATCCAGAAGACTCCTGCTATTCTACTTCCACTGCTGCATCCCCCATGTCCGCTAATGCCAAACCTCCTACAATTGTATCTCTGCCTTGGGCTGGATGATGCTCCAATGTGCACAGGCTGCCTGGGGACTCCTGCTAGCGGAGGAGGGCTGTGCACAGAGAACAGCATGCACCGCTTTGTGGTGGGCACAGATAACGAACAGCAGATGCTATGAGGCGGGAGGATCCTCTCCTTCACAGATATCTTATCATAATCTTGTCATCCTTTTGTCATGATCAGGAAACGTGATACAGCTGAGATAGTTATGATGGATACTGTTTCCTCAGGGTTACAAAGCTGTCTGCAGAGTCACTCTAGGTATCCTCAGCAGCTGGCTGCGGCTTTCTGTGTCCACAGCAAGTTCCCCAGCAGTGTTCATCTTAGCACACAGCACGCCATCCGCTTGTGTTCTCCCTTTCAAAATTTCAGCCAAAAGGTGAGGATTTAGGAGTGATCAAAAAAAGAGAAGTTAAAATAACTAAAACTGCATAGCTCAAGAATATAGCTAAAGATAATGGGAGGCAGTTCAACAAGAATGTAAGGAACATTTTGTCAAAAAAGAAAGCTACCGGCTATCAAAAGATGAAGGAAAAATCAAAATACACATGATATTTAAAATTTGGACAGACAAATCACTGAGGAATAGAAGTAATGCAGCATTTCCGTGAGATGTTATTGGTCAGATCACCTAAGAGGCATCTCATTTTTTAGACCTGGGCTTTCTATTTTTCTGAGATTTTACTTCCTGTCACTGATTCCTGGCAAGGAGTCATAAGCATCATGTGTTCTGGGAAGCCAGAGTTGCTCTACGGATCTCATCTGCAGCCTTACGGATGTGCTGACAGACAAATCTGTGGGCCTAAAACTTTTCTGTAAGCTTCTAAAGCAAGCAGCTTTCACTTCATAAGATGTATGCTGATAGTAAGTAGAGAGTCTGTGATTTCATTTCCCTCATCACCTCATCCAGCTGGGGAAGTTTCTATTCCTTTGATATTTACTTCATAGGCAGACAAAGAAAAAAAAAACATAGATACATTGAGCTTAATGTATTTTTTCTTCCCTACCACATCTCTAGTTTTATGACTGCTTTTCCTCACTGTGTATTTGAACTATTCTTGTATTTTTGGGAGGTGTCCAGAATTTTGCAGACAGTATTGAAAACCAAATTAATAATGAGCATAGCACAGATTTTCAGTTGTAGGCATCAGATATGTAATGTACTAACCACCATTAAGGAACAGGTCCCTTACATTATTCACAAATTCATCAGATTTTTTGTTTAGAAGGATTACTATTATGAACAGAATCACTGCAGAGAACTTTCAATTAGGATTTCAGCAAAATAATAAAGTGTCATGGACAAATCAATCATGTAAGTTCAAATACCTACTTTGTTTCAGCAGAAAAGAAAAGCTGGATTTCTACTACAGAAAAGGCAGTAGGCAATTATTTCTGGAATACATAGCTTTCCACAAGTATTATTGTCCTTCAAAACATTGTTTAGCACATACCATGCAGGGTTGACACCCACCAGCATCACCATTCTTAAAGCCACTCTTTTGTGGAAATTCCATTTTTCTATTGACGTTGCCAAACAAATTACTCCAATCAGTAACAGATGAAAGTCTTTAAAATAAGCAGATGCCACCTTAAATAAAAGCAAAAAAAAATTTGTTAACTAACTAAATGGTGACTTTCTGTAAGTATTTTGTATTACCAGTATAATGAAAAAAATTTCAGCAAGGGTATATATTGAAATAAATACTGAAAATTCTTTTTGGCTTAAATTTGTACTGTTAATTTCATTGAAACTCTTAATTTCATTTAGCCAAATGATGCAAAAGTAGCTTTGCTAAAGCGCATAGTGTTAAAACAAAATTAAAAACAAGGCTTATGATATGAACAACCTAAGATCAATAGTCACATATCACATATGATCTAAATCACCAATGAAATGCTGCTTTTATTAATTTAGTCATGTATCCAACAGATAAAAGAGTAACTTTAAACATAGACTGAGAGTATGATCATCTGTGGCTTCCTCTCTTTGACACGAAGATGTATACACAGCATTTTGCACATGGGGTCTTTAATGTGTCATCTCACTTCTGTAACATTAAGGATATTTTATATCTATCCTGCATTTTCCCATTGACTGGCATCTAAGCACTGAATCATAAGCTAGAAAAAAAAAAATTAAAGAAATATGAACAAGTCCTAAGGACAAAGCATGTAAGCAAGTCTTGAGGCAGACCTACTGTGACTGGCACTCAGCAAATCCATGGATTAGCCTATCAGGTTTCAACGTTATGTGGTTCTCTTTGGAGATTTTTATCATTGAAATCTATAGTATGATAGAGAGCAAAAAAAGGTTTACCTCCTTGGATGCCATTATACCAAACAATGGGAACATGAAGGCGGGGAGCAAAGCTGAAACAGCCAGCGGCAAAGCTTCTGTGAGCCAAAAGATGGCAACTACAAACAAAGTGTATGCACATTCTGCTTCCTAGAATACAAAAGGCACCAACAAAGATATGGGTGAATCATCCAGGAAAAAAATTCACAATTGCAAAAAATCCAGCTATGTCAGTAAAGAGATTCCCCTCACCTGGAACAAGTATGAGTCAAGGGACCTGAATTTAGGGTACTTATTATCTGCTATTGATATTCCTGCTAAGGTATGAAATATAGCCTGTAAAATAGTTTTAAAGAATTTTTTTTCTAAGAGACAGTAAAATTACTTAAATTCTGCCACATACGAAAGGTGGAAAAAAAACTCACCTGCCTTTTCCTTCAAGCACAATTAATCATAAAGGTAATTCTGAAGCATTCTCAGACCATGAATTAACAAAAATCACAAACATTCTGCATCTGCAAGCAAACCTTTAAACCTCTAGGAGTACTCACAGTCAATAATAGGTCAAATTTTGTCTGTTCTGTAATCAATGAAGTTTTGTCATCAACATCAATAAGGCAAGGACATCATTAACATAAAAAGTATTGTGCAAGACTAACAAGAAATACAGTTTTTGTTTTTAAGACTTGTAATTTTAGTGACTCTCTTTTATTTAAACTCCTGGAAAACAGGAGGTTTTTCACGAGAAATTACTTCAATGCTGCCCATTTCGTTCTGCTGACATCAGAGCTGTACCAAATAGAATCATTAATAAAATTTAGATAGCTGTTTCATCAGCCTGGAGTTGTCACAAGAGTTATTGAATGGCAGAAGAACTTATTTCAAGTAAAATAAAATTAAGGTGTTCTACCATACTCTTTGCTCTATTCATGAACCAGAGGGAATTTCTCCTATCATTGATTCTGGTCATGTGCTATCAGACAACACAATATATGATGAACTTAACAAAATCCATCATCAAATAAAAATGTAATTGCAACTGTCTTCCTGACAATTCATCTCCATTGTCAATCATGAAGAGTTTAAAAGTGGCTGAAATGTAATAGTAAGGACAAGATTTTCAAGGTAGTCTAGAAGAAGTTAAGTGAGAAAAAAACATTTCCTGAACAAGAAAACAAATATATAATTCAGAATTTCATGTAACCAGCACGGACTCTTACATTAAAGCTGTTGTCTTTTCTATGTTTCTATGCAAATACTTTGAGTTGACAAAAAAAAATATAATAAAAGAAAATCCACAATGCAAACATCATGAAGTCATTCAAGGTCCCTTCCAACCCAAATCATTCAATGATTCTGAAAAGATCTGGGAATCTCAGGCTTGACATACAGGTGCGAAATAGTTTTACCTCTCAAAGCAGATCACTTACTTTGGTTTTGATGATAAGTGGGAGTGGAAGTAAAAGCAGTGGGGTGAGGACAATGAGCAGGAACCTTCGGTACACCAGGAGGTAGCTAAGAAACTTCATGGTTGATGGCTGATAGATGAACTTTCTTGCAGAAACTGCCAAAAAATAAGTCTGACTTTAAATACCTAACTCTGATTAATATTTTTCCAAGCTATCACCTTTAGCCATTGCTAAAGCAGACCAGTAAACCAAGTTAAAATTAAATCTTGCTCTTTATTGTTTTAGTGAGTTTATTAACAGTAGGTTGATAAGATAAGTGTTCATCATAAACCAAGGTTAGATGTCAGCCTCCTCATGACTTTCTCTCCCTGCCCTTCCTCATAACTTGTTTATGTAATTAGAGCAGGATTTAGACAACTAGATAACCAAAAATTTCAGGTGCTCTCCCAGTCACTGTTGGCTTCAGTAGGAAATCAAAATATCTAATATACATAGAATGTATGTTCAGAAACAATTATGGCATTATGTAAAAGCATATGCAAGATCATTTTACTGAACAGAATAAAAAACTGTTCATCTCCATCTGTGGAGATATTCAGAACTTGATAGGACAAGGTCCTGAGCAATCTGACGTAGCTCTGAACTTTGCTCTGCTTTGAGCAAAAAGTTGGACTAGATGATCTGCAGAAGTTGCTTCCAGCCTTAGTCTTTCTATTGGTTTTATCCATCTAGAATTTGAAATACATGAGAAAACCAGGGTTTTTTCTGTCTTGCCTGGTAGGTAGTGTATGATAGTTCATTTTCTCTTCTCATGCAGAAACAGGATAAGGTGTTCCGTGCGCATCATATAAAGCTTTGACAAAGGCTAAGAGTAAGAGAGCTTTTTGAGACAAAAGTAAAAAATAAATAAATCATTTTGTCTGAATTTTCCTGTTTTCAATGAAAGAAAATGTGGTACAGTCTTTGTAATACAACAGAACAGCATCAAATAAAGAAGAGGAAAGAGGCTTGTCCACCATCTGTGGGTGAAGATCAAAAGGTGAAAGAACATAATGTTTCATGCTCAGGATCTTACATGAAGCAGAGAACTGGAAGAGGAGACAGATGAAGGAGTCTTTGAGCTAACATCAGAACCATCTAAAGGCCAGGTAATAAGGTATATTTTTACTATCCATATAACTTTTTGATTATAAGGGTCCCATGTGTCAGGGTACAGACAAACCAAGTGATCAGATTGCCAGTGTTGGGGACAAACATTTGGTTTCAGGAAGGCAGGAATTAGTATTACTGGGAAAGCAGTATTTCAAGTCCAACTGACAGGAAGGAATTGACTGAAAACCTAGAGGTATGAAATAACTTGGGGACGAAAATAATAATGAGATAACAGCCTTTGCTACTGCACAGAAAGAATTGGGAAAACAGCTTTGGCACAACCAAGGGAGCTGAGTCAGAGATGTCCTGAAAAGACAATGCGAGGGATAAAGAAGTTCAAGTGAACTGGTAGCTTTTGAAAGAAGTTATGTGCCTGAGGACTGCTATAAAGGAATTACAAAAATATAAATGAATGAATTCAAGAAGATTGTGATGTGAAACATATTTCAGTTGGAGATGTCAAAGAAAATTTCTGTTAAAATGTCAGAAGTAAGAAGAAACAAAGGAGAATAGAGGGATTTAGTAAACAGAAGGAAAGACAAACTGCAGACAGTGCTGGAGTATTCAACACTGCTTGAATCTTCACAAAGGTAAATGTCAGTCAGTTCTCTAATGACATTACTTTTAACATGGAAAAGGGAATGCACTATGGGCACAGTGCTGGTGAGAGTGCTGAATATTTAGATATATGTATTCAAGTCAACAGTTCCAGATGAAATTCACCCATAAATCTTGTGTGAGAATTCATGCAGTAATCTGAGAACTATTTTAGAATATATTTGAATATATTCTGATATGCCATATATTTGAAAAACCGTGGAGGATTACAAGTTCCTAGAAAACTGCTCAAGCATACATGGAAATTAAATACAGCTAACATGTCATATGAACTCAGTCTAATTTTCTTCTTTTGTGGGGCAACTAGCTTAGTTATTGAAGATACATAATATATGCATTTTATTCGATTTTAATACAATTTTTAGAGGAACTAAGAGAAATTCAGAAGTAAGCACATAAGAAATGTTCTAGGGAAATTATGTTTGAGTACACAACAGGTAAAAAAATGCTGTTCTTCAAAAGCAGTTACAAATGTTTCACATTCATACTTAGATGACATGTCAAATGGGAACCATAAAGGGTCTATCCTGATTATTTTCTAGCCCATATTTTCATTAGTGGTTTGAATCATAAACTAGCAATGGGTAGGACAAAGATAATGCCTTCTAGCTGATATTAGACCATAAAGGCTCTTTTTTTCAGCATTCCCAGACCGTCATGGCTATAGCAAAATGCTTTGTCAAGATAGGTGTGCACATTTCAAAAGCAAATGAAAGAGACATCCAGTACCAACCCAAGCGAATTATTGCTGATGAGGCAATAGAAATTGGCCTGCAGAGTTCATTGAAATTCTCAAGCCTGTCTGCAGGGCCCTGGTCCGAGACCTGCAGTCAGCCACCAGACACGGCCAGAGCAAAACTAGGACTTAAAAGGAAGAGGTTTGCTTCCAAGCTTATGCTGAGATGTTTCTGGAGCAGTCAAGATTTTACAGATAACCTGAGAATGGATCAACGGACCAATGCTCAGGTAAATAACAGATTTGTAGTGGAGTAAGTTTGGCGGAAGAAGGCTGAAGGCTTTCTGAGAGACCATGGAATTTGGCACAAATTTTCCTTATAGAACTGGAACTAGGAACAAACAAGAGTATTACAAGGACCTTAAACATACAGCTACACAAGTGAAGATGAAAGGCGTTCTAATGTGACCTGAGGTATTACTGAATGATTGGGGAAAAAACTGATAAACCCGGTTTGAAAAATAAAGATGTGTTTGCAACAATGAAAAAAAATAGATAGAGGTCAAGTTTGTAGGGAGAAAGAGTAGTTCTCATAATACCAGGCACTGTTAGCTGGTCTGGGTCAGTATTGATCCCTCACTCCCCAGCCTTCTTGGAATGCTGTAGTTATTTCTGTTATGTCTTGAGTTAACTGTGGACAACTCCTGTGTGTTTTCTCAGTAGCTGAATTGAGTTTTGCGGTTCATCTTTTCAGATCTCAGGAAAGCCTGTGGGGATGATTCTTTTATGCTGAAGCCTTGTCCAGATATCTGTATTTGCAGCTTAGCTGAGGACTACTATTTCTCTTTCATACTTGAAGAAGGGTTTATGTGCTCAGAAACTCATCGTTGTGTGGGGCAATGCAGCAGAGGAAGTGTTTGAGAAAGTGAAAAGAAAAATTCAGATTCTTCCAAAAGCTGATTTTGCCATAAAACAAAGCAAGATCAAAGGACTTGCATGAAAGACCTAGTTATGGGGAAAAAAATGGCAAGATGGACATCATCACATCCCAATAGATATGATCAATAAGATAACAGTCATGTCCCCACTGGTTAGCAAAAACAAAACCCAAACTCTCCTAGGCATTATAGGATTCTGCAGAATTCATATTCCAGGTTATAGTCACCTTGTGAATCCTCTCTGTTGAGTGAACCAAAAGAAGTATTTTGACTGAGGCTCTGAGCAACAACAAGCTGTTGAACAATTCAAACAGCAGGTAGTTCGTGCAGTAGCCCATGGGCCCGTCCAGACAGGATCAGATGTGAGAAATGTTCTCTGTGCTGCTGCTGGGGAGCATGACCTCAACAGGAGCTTCTGGCAGGAAGCACCTGGAGAGACCCAAGGTCAGCCCCAATGGTTTTGGAGCTAGGGGTATAGGGCATGTCACTCAAAGACCGAAGTACAGTTGGTGGGTAGTGTGGAAGAATGGGGAAATCTAGCATGTACCCCAAGAAGATTAAACCTTGGGGGAAAATAACATGTGATCTGAGTTGCATATGATGTGAAGTACTACATCAAGAATCACCTGAATCAACGGAGAATGAACCTTGCAAGAAACTAGGCAAGTAAAATGGTGATCCAACCTGAGCCAATAATCCAACACAATATGCCATGTCTCCGGTCCTGAGCAACAACCATAGCACGTGAAGCTCAAGTCATGGATTAAACAAACTCAACAGACAATTTATGAACATTTTACAGGGGTGTCCCATAGACTAAGGGAATGATATCTGTATATATATGTCACGTGACAGGAAGGAACGTGGTGCTTAGTAGGGGTGCCTTGGATAGTGTAAGACTTGAGCATGACATAAGTGATATGGAATAAGGGGTGGAAATTACACTGAGTTTGACTGGCCTGGATGGATTTCGTTCATAGCAGCCTGTATGGTGCTGGTATGGATCTTGTGATGTTTTGGATTTGTGACTAAAAGTGTAGATAACAAACCAGTGTTTTGCTTGTTGGTGAGCAGTCCTTCCACAGCATCAAGACATTGCCACTTTGAGTAGGAGTGAGTAGGTTGGGGTGTGCAAGAAGTTAGGAGGGGACACAACAAAGGCAGATGACCTAAACTGACCAAAGGGGTATTTCATGACATATAAAATCATGCTCAGCAATAAAAACTGAGGGGGAGAGGCGTTTTGGGAATGGAGACATTGCTTGGAGGCTGGCTGGGCATCAGTCTACTTGTGGGAGGTTGTCAGTGGCTGCCTTTGTATCATTTGTTTTACTTCGGGTTTTTTTCCTTTGGCTTTCATTTGCTAATTAAACTATCTCGGTCTCACAGGTTTTCTGACTTTTGCTCTTCCTATTCTTTCCCCTGCCCATTGGGGACAAAGCAGATGAGTAGCTGGGTGGTGCTTAGCTGCTGAACAGAGTCAACCCACCACACCTTGTCATATGTCTTGTAAGTTACATTACCACTCCCTACCTTACCATGCATTTATCTTTTGACCATCAGAGATACAATGGTAATACTACTGCACAAAGCTAAGAGGAACACCAGTTAAGGGATACTTCCTGGGAATTTCAAAAGCATGCAAAATCTTAGTA